ATTGAGTGAACCCCCGTAGGTCATGGGGCGTGGTTCAAGGCCTGGTTGAGGAGCTGAAGGTCAAAACCACAGACCTGCAGCATGCCCAGTAGATCAATTGGCGGACCGTAGGTCCATTGGGCGTGGATTACACCTGCAATCTGCCCAAAGTCGGCCAATAGGTGGGTTAGTTTAGGTAATTCGTTTTTAGTTTGTTTTAAGTAGGGGCTGCTTAATATGGGTTTATTTCATATATATAAAGTATTTTAAGGTATTAAACACCTCATTAAGTCATTATAACCAAGACCCCAAAACAAAACCCAACTATTTTCCCTTTCAAATATTTCTCTCTCTAAGAAGAAGACCTCCATTGAAGAACATCAACAAGGTCAAGCTAGGGATTCAAGATCCATCCTTTTCTTCCTCAAATTCATGTGGAAATCTTCCTAAGGTATGGATTCTTTTCATTCTTGGTTAGCTATCACCAAGAAGCCCCTTCAACTATGTTTTCAAATTCCCCACTTCTAGGGTTTTTCAATCTAGTCATGGGTCTCCTTCCAAAACGAATTCAATTGCTTAATTAAGGTTTATTATGATTTATTATGATGATTTATGATTGTATTAATGGAGTATTGATGGATTTTAATGAAAATCTCCCTTGGACCCATGATTTCCCCTTCTTCCTAAATTGTGAACTAAGGTGTGACTTGATTGATCATGGAAGCTTCACAATTGAATATGTTTATGTTTATTATGTTGTCGAATCATGATATATCTCTATCTAATATGACCATTCTAGAAGTTAGGGTTGATCTTGATTCTTAGTCTTGAAAGGCAATTTGCTAGGTTTGTATATGTTGATGAACATTGTATATAAACTTGTTGATCCACTTGAAAGGTGGACTTGATAATAGTATAATTCTACATGTATTCTTGATTAACCTAAGATTCTAGGGTTGTGTCATGAAAGAGGCAAATTGAGGGTTTAAATGTGATCCTCCAAGTATGATGAACTTCTCCATGTAATGCCTTAGATTAGATCACCTAGACTTGAATTGGTTTAGGGTAATGCTTTTAACATGAATTGGCTTGATCATGATATTATATGCATGTTTGTGAGTACTTGGAGTATAAAGTGCCAATCATGATGCGATTAATGTATTGATGAGTTGTTGGATCATGGTATTTCCTTATCTAATGTGCTATTACTATATGTTTGGGGTGAGTTGATCCATAAGCCCTTGAAGGGCATATTATGAAGGTTTGTGCATGTTGACAAGGTTGTGTGTGAACTTATGATTTATTTAGAAAGTGAAGGTCCTATGACTATTGTGTATATTGTGGTATTGTTGAAAGGCCACTCTTCCCTTACCCTTACACTTGATTATGAATGAATTGTCTAGGATGATGATAATGTTGTTGTCGTGTCGTTGCAAGGACAATTACACACACACTCCATGCAAAACATAATCATGATGTATCAATGGTGTTAATTGAAAGTATAGTTCTCATATGCACCTTTACACATTATTATGCATGAAATGTACATGACCATGATGATTCTTATTGTGTTGATTGAAAGTCCATTCTCATGAGAACACATGATCTTGGTGTGAAAGTTATTCTCACATACTAATTATGATTCTAAAGTTGAAAGTACATTCTCACTTTAATGAATCTATGAGCTATTTTATGAATTGTATTGAACAAAGGGTAGAGCTCTCCTTCACACATGTAAATACAATTCAAGACTAATGACGTATAATTTGGGGAATAATGCTTAGCACCGAGTGGATATGGACAATGAGGTAAAGGCCCTTCCGTCAATGCCAAAGGTTGGGTCATCTAAAGTAAACTCATGAGATGGAAACTCCTCTGCCAATGCAAGAGGTAGGGTTTCTAGAAGCAATCTCCTTATCCCATAACTATGTGCCCACATAGGTATCTTTAGCTAGTGGATCCACCTTATAGCTATACATTTTAATCCTACCTTAGGCAAGTAGGGCACTTTCTTTTGGTGTGGGGTTACACAACATCGAATTCCATGTAGCTCACTTGGTCTATGTTGGTTATGGCTACTTTTCCCTATATAATAAAGATAATGAATGAGACACGAACTATACTATGACTTTTTGGTGAGTTTTACTTAGTAGGAGTGGGGGTATGGGACTTCACTCCCACATTGCACAAGTAGACTTAGTAGGATGTCATGGGATGGTTCCTTTATATTATGATGAGATTTGAATGCATGCATGTGTGTTGAATAGATAGTTGTTATGAATGACTTTCCTTATAATTCAAGTATGTACATGACTATTTTCTTATTTGTGATTATTGCTTATAATGAGGTCTAAGGTTGAAGTGCATGACTAAGGTAGCTTCAAAGGAGTACTTAGTAGGGTTGGTATTATGGGATACCAACCATACATTGCACAAGTGTTTCTTAGGGGTTGCTTATGTGATGATTACTTAATGATGAGATGATCTTGGTATTTGACTTTCTATTATTTGTGATTGGAGGCTATGTATTGTGAAGATTGGGATTTGTATTATGTTGATATTGGAGACTATGCTTGGTATTATATTGATATCTCTCATGTTATAATGAAATGTATGTGAGTTGCCTTATTGGTTGCATTCTCCAACTATTTCAAAGATGATGTTCAAAAATGGCATATAGCATGATTTCAAATGAAATGTCCATTTTCATGCATGTTTTAAATGGTTTTGTGCATGGCTTCCATACTTAGTACATTTTGTGCTAACCCATATTTCTACATTTTCTATAAGTGTAGGCTTTGGAGATATTAGATTTCATCCTCGTGGCTAGGTTCAAAGGAGATCAAGAAGAAGAAGATTGGTGAGTCATCATTGTATTTGAGGGCTCAACCATATGTCCTTTATTGTCTTTCTTTTATGTTTTTGACTTTTTGTAAGGGCCGTGTCCCTAAAGTTGTATTCAAGAGTTTTAATTCAATGTTATAGATGGTTTGAGACATAGTGTTAGAGATTCTCTTTCATTTTTATAAAGAACTTCGATTGTAAAGAAAAGTTTTAAATTCCCACTATTTTCCTATGTTTTTATGTTCATGTATGCTATGAGGCTTGTATGAGACCCCTTCGGGGTCAAGTACGCCGATCACGTCTAGGGGGTGCTCTCGAGGTGTGACAATAAACCGATGCTCTTCGAGTCATACTCTAAACCTAAGGCTCTGATACCAACTCTATCACGACCCAATTCACATAAGTCATGACCGGCGATCAGTAAGCCTAAGCCTACATGGAATGATCCATAAATTTCAACCCTATCAGCATTCAACAAACAACAAACCAACCTACAACAATAAAAACATATAAAGTCTAAGACACCAATATAATCGAAATCAGGGTCTTTCATAAAACTTAGATGTTCCAAGTCACCTTCTCATCAACCCAAACCAAATTCAAATTTACTAGATCGACTCAAAGAGAAAGACTCTAGGATTAAGTACACTAATATACTTTATTAGTTGAAACAAAATATTGGCCCACGCGAAGCAAGTGCGGGGCTTACTGGATCTGGCACTAGCTCTGTCTTTTACTATGCTGGAGTCAAGGATCACCTTCAGTTGAATTAGCCGAAAGAAAAAGAAAGAAGAAGTGGGGTCAGTCACACCGACTGAGTGAGTAACAATGGCAGCCATAGCGTTGTACCTAGGACAGACAAATAAACAGAAGAGCATGTAAACTATAAATCACCATCCAAAACTTTCTTAAATCAATTTATCTATTCATATATGAAAATTGTGTTTAAGATATTTCGATAATCACATCCATCATTTATTGGGAGGATCCAATGCCAGTATCGAGTATACTTTCTGACACTACGGATTTACCATAGCCATCTGACCACCCCGTCAGCTAGGTTCCCTTCTAAAGGGTAGATGTACCACATTAGTTTTCCAACAAGGTGCACCAAGTCTAACGATCTCAACGTTAGAAAACAACGATACTGACAAAGTTAGCTTCCTGGAAATAGTTCCCTGGAATGCAACATACATCATATTCTGCTTGTGTCAAATTTGTATCCCACCATATATAATAACTCATAAATTCAAGAGTAATAGGTATATAACTCACGATAGAAACTATTCAATACATTTTCAAATACTTGATCATACTACCGCTTGTCCGCACACAAAAGATCAATTTTTAGATAAGTTAGTCAGAGCAAGAAAACAAATTCAAAATACGGGATAGTGGAAAATTAACTATGGAAGAATTATCACTCACTATACTCTTGCCAGATAACTTCAATTTGCTCCCAATGATTCCGCCTTCGACATACAGTTATTTAATAAGTCAAGAATGGAGAGAAACAGTTGGGTCTTCTACAATACTTGTTTGTTTTATGTCTTAGAGATGAAAACCTTTACGTGGTGCTGGATTTTGTTGTTGGTTTCCTTTCTCCTTACCTTCTTCCTTCTTTCTGTGTTGCCTTTAGCTTCTATGGATAATTTTTTTCTTTTCCAGAAGCTGGTGCTCCACCGCTTTAAGCTAAAACCATTGCAACTATTTTTAAACCCCTCCCACCGCCTCTTTTCTATTTTTATCTACTAATTACTTATTAAAAATGTGGGTTAAAAGATAGGGCCTAAATAGCTAATGAGTTGGGTTAGGTAAATAGTTGGTTACGTATTTTAAATGGGCCAAGCTCAAAATTTTAAGTCGTCATAGATTTACCGCTTTTATTTCCCCTTTTGCTTCGTTGGCTTCCCTCCATTTTTGGTTCCCACCATAATTGGTTAAATTAGGTTTTAGTCTTTTAACCCTCATTTAATACAATTGACCAAATTGTCAACTTAAAAACTTAAGGACAAAGTCCACAATCCTTCATCCTTAATTACATAATTGTCACCTATACTCAATAATTAAAACTTTTGCCAGTGCCATTTCCATTTAATTTTGACATGTGACCCTTACTTAATTCAAAATCTCTAATGAGGTAAAGAAAGAAGTCGAAAAAAAGGAAAAGGTTTATCAAGTGGGTATTGAAATTGGTGGTTTTACGGTGCGTCTGAGTCGATAATGGCTCTTTCATCACCTTCATTCTTTTCTGGTTTGGCAACTCCTTCCAATAGAAACAGACACATTCACAAGTTTCGGTGTTCGACCTCTGTGGTAACTACAAATTGTTGTAAGCAAGGCGAATTTCAGAATGTGGTCACGGATTATGTCTCTTCAAATCAGTTTCCTGTTTCCCGTACTGATAGACAGTCTGCAATTCTTCACATTCAGGAGTCATCTGACTTGGCTTCTGCTCTTGCAAGGTTTCGAATTAACAGACTCTAATCCTCAATTATTAGATACCTTGAAATTGTAATTTTCGAAATTTATGGTTGAAATTGTAATTGCTTTTAGTATCTATCTGGTGTTGGTTCTTGTATGTGCTTCGACTCTGAAAGTGGTCAGATACCTCATTTTCTGGGTATTTACAACCTTTTTTTGGAACCTTTAGAACATCCATGGTTCAATTGTATTAGCTCCTTTTCAGGCATGGTGATACACTTAAAGTACAAGATATGAATGTGATTTTGCGCTATTTCGGGAAGCTAAATAGAAGACGGGAGCTTTATCAGGTTCTGTCAGCAAACCTATCAAGTTTTTTTTTTCTTTGCTAATAATGATGTCCCAATGTACAAGCACCCAAGGGTGTGGCCTAGTGGTCAATGAGTGCCAGGAGAACCATGAGGTTTTAGGTTCAAATCCTAACAGAGAAAAAAACACTAGGTCATTTCTTTGTATTCTGTTGTATTAATCCACGTGTGCACAAGATGGTCTGAACATCACCGTTATAAAAAAAAAATGATGTTCCATTGTACAATCTGTCTCATGGTTAGGTTATCTTATCAGTAATATCAGCTATTAGCTTTTTTGTTTGTGCATCTTGCAACGTTTCTATCTGATAGGCAGCATTAAAGTGCAGTTGATATGTGGAATTGTTGGGACACTAGAGAAAAGTCTACCTTGTAGAAACTTGATCACCTATATTTGAAGAGTATCGTTCATGAGTTAAATCAAAGTATGTCAGTTCATCGATGGTTGGCAAGTATGATGGTCCTAATGATGATCCTGCATGTATTTCGTGTGTATCTCACGATGGATAAACCTCGCGTATCGGCTTGGGTTACAAGTGTTTTCTTGACCAATTAGAAACAAAGATAAATAAAAACATAGGGCAATAATGGAACCCAGGACCCATATTCTTCTCCAATTTGAGTTCTACTCACATCTCGTATGAATTCAAGAACATATTCAAAGAAAGTCTGACCCCGGTCGGAATGGTTTGTGGGTGCCGAACAACTATAGTGATTGAACCTAATAAGATAGCAACCCAAGAGGTAATAAGTACTTGGTCATGTACTTGGAAACCCCCTATTTGCCAATAGAAATGTTGGCCTACTTCCACACTGGAAATATTGTATAACCCCTTTTAGTACTGATGGAACATGATAGAACATTCATATTGCCTTGCCCTATGAATATATGATTGAAAGGATAACTAGGAACATAACTAATTGAGTTTAAAGTCATAGAGGGAAATAGGATAACATGGCCTACTGCAAGTGCCATGGTTTTGTGAACCATTGGTCGATATGACAATAGGCAGAGATTGATAATAAGAAATGAAAGAGTAAAGAGATTTTTTATGAAGTATGATTGGAGGCTCTTGATCCAATGACTCAAGGTCTAAGGGACTGAATGAGAAACATAAGTTGTGAAATTATCAGTTTGATAACACTTGTGGTCCAAGCCTCCGTGAATGCGACACCTTGCCTCGCGAAAGCGAAGAAAAATCACTGCTGGAAAAAAGAAAATAAAATTTGGTGATGTTGAAATGGTATTTTGCATCTGAAACTCATCCGAACCCCCTCAGGTCCCAGAACCCGAATATAGGTACAAGTCCAAAATCATCATACGCCTATAAGAACCTTTAAACCACAAATCTAAGTCCGATAAATACAAATTTTGGCTTTGGTCAACTCTATGAACGTTAAACCTCTAGTTTAGATTCAAGTGCTCCAAAATCTCCCGTGCCCCTCGGGGACCTGTGCCACCCAAACCTGCAAGTCATAAATCACCACAAGAACCCACAAAAAGTCTCAAATAGGGAAAAAGGGTTCTAGAACTCAGAACGACTGGCTGCTAGTCACAAATCCAGTCCTTCTGATGGTGTTGGTTTGTGCACAACACCTACGGAAGGCAAGATCTTTGGATGGGCAGTTGGCACGCTGACTAGTTTCTTAATAATGCTATGATACCATTTGAAAGATTTAATACAAAAAATGAAGAATGTATTCTCCCAATGGGGTGTTTAAATAGTACATACACCTATTCAGAACTAGGACAGAAATCTACACAATATCTCCCTAATTGAATACAATATTCTTAATGCCAATTTTTTAACATTTTTATTAATTGAATGTCCAAGTATTATGTATCCTTTCATCTTTAAATAGACATGAAATCGTTCAAATTTGGCATATGATATTTGCCTACATGAAAGTTAATTCAATTTATTGTTCTATTTCGTATTTGTGGTATTACGCAGGTGTTTGAATGGATGCAGCAGAATCAGAAGATCAATGTTGCATCATACAGCAGTTATGTAAAGTTCATGGGGAAGAGCCTCAGTTGTGTTGATGCTGTAGAAATGTACAGAGACATCAAAGACAGGTCGATGAAGTATAATGTCTCAGTCTGTAATGCATTTCTTAGTTCCCTGATAAAAAACGGAAAATCGGAGAGCAGTCTCAAACTGTTTACTCAAATGAAGCGAGATGGTTTAGTACCAGATGTATTCACATATAGCACGGTACGCTGGTTCCAAATAGAAATCATTCCTACTTCTAGCAGTTACAGTCACCTAGTTATGTTAAATAGAGTTGTTGAATCAAAGAATTGGCAATAGAAAACATAGAACTGTTTGTTATGTTGCGTATTCCCAAAAGTAAGCTTGTTGATTACACAAACTCTAGTATAATTTAGTGTTTAGCCCCTTTTTAACTTTCGTCTACTATGTTTAGCTTCTTGCAGGCTGTGCCAAAGTAAACGGTGGATACTATAAGGCACTAGAGCTGGTTCAGGAGCTGATGTCTAATGGACTGGAAATGGATAGTGTGACTTATGGGTCACTCCTTTCTGTCTGTGCTTCACATAAAGAGTGCAATGAAGCTGCAAAGTACTTTCAGAAGATGAAAGATGAAGGTCATTCTCCTAATGTCTACCACTATAGCTCTTTGCTTAATGCTTACTCTGCTGACAGAAATTACGAGAAGGCTGAGGTATTGATTGAAGAGATGAGATCTGCAGGATTAGTATTAAATAAGGTTTGTCATTAAACGTTCTTACCTGTGGAGTAATTAAAATGTCAATTTACACATCTTTGCTTTTATGTATGTTTACTGGTTTTAAGATAGCAGATTTGAGAGCAACATTGGAGTAACTGTTTCCAGTAGGCCTTCCAAGAGCCTCTGGTTATTGTTATTGTCAGTATCTTTGTTGACAGGGTTCCGTTCATTTCCTTTTTCCTGGTCACAGTGAAAATAAGAGAGGAAAGAACTGCACGTTAGGAACCAAAGAGAGGTTACAATGCATATGGCATGAACATAACTCCGTCCTCACATGCGGGCCTAATTTTTTTTCTCATGGCCAAGCATGTGAAAATTCTTTTTGACAAAGGTTGACAGTGAGACTTGAACTCTGGACCTCTTTTTGCTCTGGTACAATATTGAAGTGCATGACCATCTCATTTAAAAACAACAACAACATACCCAGTGAAATCCCACAAAGTGGGGTCTTAGGAAGGTAGAGTTTACGTTGTCCTTACCACTACCTCTCCGAGGTGGAGAGACTGTTTTCGAAAGACCCCCAACTCAAGCAAATCAAAGTAATAATTAGACGAAAAAAGGTAGTAGGGAGAAACATGACAACTAATAGCAAAGCAGCGCGGAGTATATATGCAAGGAACCGTAACAACAACAAAGTGTGATCACCTAAACACAGTAAACCACATGATATCATCCGTTCCTCCTCGTCTTTTCTCTCTACTAACATAGCATATGCCACTTTCTTTGCTTCCACTTTACCTTGTACTTCCCCATTCCACCACTAATCCCTTCTATGGCCATCAAATTTGCCCCTCGAAACCCCTAACACCTCTCTAACTGCTTCCTTAATGCAACTGGCTGTCTTATCCCACATGCTATTTGTATCTCCACTACTACCCCAAGTCTCCATCGCCATTAACTTCTTCCCCATCTCCTAGGGCTAAGGCAGGGGTCTAGCCACCCCATTTGATCCTCAGTCGGGCATACAAAGTCTTGTTCTTCCCCTCCCTCTTAATCCCCAAGTCCATTGTCAGGATTTTATGCTGGGTAGTTAGACTCACTCGGGATAACCTTGCAGTCCTTACAAAGGCCTCTTCACCCTTCCGAAAGTAAATAATCTGTTTGAGTATTGGCCACCGCACTACGGAAGGTACCCAAGTGGTCCACTTTTTTTGGAAAGCATGAATTAGCTATCACCAACGCAAAAGCTCCAGCACAATCTAGAAGCAACTCCTTCATTTCTCACCCCAAAACAAAAACCTCCATGCACCTTGTCATAAGTGGTTGACCTGTTGTGACCATTGAAATCTCCGCCAAAATGAATAGCTTCTCAGAAAGTTGTTTACCCCTCACCACCTCGTTCAAATCCTCCTACAACTTAGAAGCGCTTCTTGACCTCCTTATTTAAAAGTTTAAGCTATTAGATAAAACACTTTTTCATTTATTTAATTGTGTTTATAACACTTCTCATTTGTCTGAAAGAACCTCGCAACACTTCTTTCTTATATACCGGAGGACAAATTCAGAAAATTCTTCGATAATCCAAAAAGTGAAAAGCTTAATTAGTTAGTTGGTCGGAGGAGTTTTGGTACGGCGAGGGAGGTTTGATACTGTGAGTAGATTCAAGCATTGTTGCCAGTCAAGTTTGGTGATTCTTAGCTGCTTGACTAGTAGTGCATGAAGTACAGAATGTAGCAGCGGTACTGTTCCTCAAAATTGATAATGATGGATCAAGGATTTGGACTTAAGAAATTTACCATGAAAATTTACAAGTAGAAAAGGAGGTCCAATCTAAGTTGATCAGGCTCTTCACTTTCGGTGCCGTACTTGTGTTGACATGACATGAGTTTGGGATCCGTACCAGATTTGGTTTACCGATTTTGGATACTTCCCAAAATCGATGGAGAAATTTAGGATAGATACAATGATTTTCGCAATCAAAACATAAGCTAAGGTGAAATTGAAGAAAATGGAATAACTTGTATGTAGAAATTTCTATGTCAGTGCTTCTCCTATCTCCTTATGGGATCTCCTCGGAATACCTTGCAAGTTTTCCACATAATGTGATAGAATCTGTGATGAAGAAGAGATAAGAATGAATTTTTTTTTTGAAAATGTGAGATAAGAATGAAATTTTACTGGTTAAATAAAGTGCAAGGATCTCCTTATCTAAAAAATAAAGTGCAAGGATCTTAAACACTGCATTAACTAATAACTATGTTGGTATAGAATGGACAAATCTCTAATCTAGATACAAAGATAATGACAATTCGTTTTGTTTCCCAGAATTCTTCTGTATACATATATATTTAAACTAAAACATACCTGTAAATGAGCAGTCGTATCAGTGCATCCCCTGAAATATCGCTTTGTCCTTTGGTTGAAAAGAAGGAAATTTCTGCAATGAGATCATAGTTCTCTCAACTAGCTTCTTCAAGGGGATGGTCAACCCATTGAAATAGCAGTTCCAAAGAAAAAGTACCGTCATCTTTGACCCATGGATGCGCAAGAATCTTGGTAGGAGATAGGGCAAGTTCCCAATCTTTAGTAAGAGGAAGAAGGGATGGTGGTATGATAGCTTGCAGACAATGAGCTGGACAGAGTAAAGATACATGGAATATTTGATAGACTTTGGAAGAAGAAGGTAGCTCCCATTCATATGCTACAGATCCAACACATCGTACAGTTTTATGGTCCTAAAAATTGAGGTGACAATTTTTCGTACTTGTGATAAGCCAAAGAACATTGAAGGTAAGGCTGAACACTTTAGAAAGCCAAACTCTAATCTTAAAGGTAACATCTCGATGATGAGAATTAACTTGCTGTTCCATTGAAGTTTGAGACTTTAAAAGGTTATCCTTGAGAATTTTCAGCATGGCATCACAATTCAAAAGTTGTTCTTCAAGTTCAGCGATGCATTTTTCTCCATGAACAAAAGGAGAAAGGGATGGAGGATCTCTACCATAAAAACAACCTTGAATGGGGTAGTCTCTATGGATGAGTGGAATCCCGTCTTAAAAGAAAATTCTGCCCGTGTGAAAAGAAAATTTTTGCCCGTGTTAAGTACTGACTCCATGTATGAGGTGACTCCATAGCAAAAGCATCGTAACTAAGATTCCAAGCATCTATTGATCACCTGAACCTGTCCATCAGATTGTGGATGGTAAGACATTCCCATTCTTAACCTTGTTTTGCTAAGTCGGAAAAGCTCCTGCCAGAAAGCGCTGAGAAAGATAACATCCCGATCAGATAGGATTGACTGTGGAATGCCATGGAAATGCACAACTTCTCCGCAAAAACCATTAGCAACAATCTTGGAGGTATATGGGTGAGATACTGGGATTGAATGAGAATACTTGCTGAAACAATCTACAACAACCAACATTGTGTCATAATCACCAGATTTAGAAAGTCCTACAATGAAGTCAAGTGAGATATCTTCTCTTATTCTATCAGGTATAGGCAAGGGTTGTAGAAGCCACAACAGGTGCTAAAGCTTTGTAATTGGCCCGTTGACTAATCAAATAGTTCTGAACTTAGAGCTTAACATCATGCTTTGTCCTTGGACAGAAAAAGTTGGAGGAGAGGCGCTTCAAGGTTTTCAAATATCCTTCATGTCCGACAGAAAGTGTGTCGTGAGATTTTAGGGAAGCTTTTTTCATAGAGAAGATTGATATGGAACAATCAACCTTTCCTTGAAATAACGTTTTTGATCCACTGGGTGAAAATTTGGTTCTAAGGAAGGGCCTTGGCGGATGGCTTGAATAATCTCACGAGTATATGTATCTGCCTGGAGAGTATCTTGCCAATTTGAAAAATCCATTGGTACACATAGCAAGAGCCGGAGATACAGCATTTAATTGTCTCCTTGAAAGAGTATCAGCTCCCAAATTGTCTTTTCCTACTTTGTAAGCAATTGTGAAGTTGTGAAGGGAACCAATTTCGGTAATAATCTTTGCTGCTCATTAGTGGTAATATGTTGGGAAAGGAAATACTTGAGGCTGCAATGATCTGTCCGGGCATAAAAATGATGGCCCAAGAGGCAGCGTTTTCCATTTTTGCAAAAGCTAAAACAAGAGCAAGCTATTCCTTATCATAAATAGACTTCACGCTACTGGGAAAAGGAAAGTGCTTTGCGAAAGACAACTGCACTTACGGATATTGACTATTTCTATATGGTTGGAACACTGCAATTTAAAGTATGCCTGGAGTCAAACTGTTTATGGGAACTTAGATCATCTTTCCGTTTTAGATTTCCATTGTCACTACTAGCTTTAGAAATTTTCATTAAAAACTCATTGCTGCTCATGGTGTGTTGCAGGTAATCTATACAACTTTGTTGAAGGTATACGTGAAAGGAGGTTTGTTTGAGAAGTCAAAGGAACTGCTAAAGGAGTTAGAAGCTCTTGGCTATGCTAAGGATGAGGTACACTTCTTTTTTTTTTTTTTTAGGATTTCTTGTGTTCAAAATCTTCCCAAACATTTCATTTTGCATTCTAATTCATAGTATATTTTTGACAAGTTTATTGACATAAAGTGATAACGTCTGGAAGAGGTATACGCTTTGAGGCTCTATATTATACTGTTTCTTGGTTATTGCCAGTGATTGGTGTTATCATTAAATTCCATTATAGCATACATTATCCATGGTGCACATCTTCAGAATATTGTCCACGTGGAGTTGCTGGGTGGAAACATATGAACAGTCAATGAAATGAGTTTCAAGAAAAAATAAGGTTAAAAGTAGGTGATTGCAGAAAATTAAATTTTGGAGGACCAAAGGTATGGGCGAATTCTATGGCAGAAACCTTCTCTGATTTGTTTATTATGGTGATTAATAAAAGTGCAGTATAGCTGACTGTTGGGATAGAAGAGGCTAAAATTTTCAGTTTAGAAGGAACATTAGTGATTGAGAAATCAAAAGAATAAGCGAGTTACTAGAATCTTCCTGTGTGGCTTCCAAAGTGAAAATCTCAGTAGTCTCTAGTAACTTTTTTTTTTTTCACTTATAAAAAATCTCATGCAAGGATGGTGCAAGCTCGGCAAAATCCTATCAGTGCTCGTGAGGAATGCTCCCACAAATGGTTTTGAATGATCATGGAAGATGATTTGAAATTAGGAAACCAAAAAGCTCCGACCAAGTTAGCATACTTTGGCTGGTTCTACACATAAAGCTTGTTTTCCACCGGCAAACTTACAAAGGAGGAGCTTCAAATCATGCAGTTGGTGCTATCTATACAAAGAAAGTTTTGAAACTGTGAATCATTTACTATTACACTGCTAGTATGCTTGGCAGATTTGGTGCATGTTCCTGAACCGATGTGGTATTCAGTGGGTACTGGGTAGTGCCAGGCAACTTAAATCAGCACTGCAGCTGGCAAGGACAGAAGATAAGGAAGAAATAGCTGTTGATATAGAAACCATTCCTTTGTGCATGCTGTGGACTGTTTGTCTAGAGAGAAACTGTAGATGTTTGTAGAGGAAAGAGGAAATTGTTGCTTTTGTGAAATATAGATATTTCCAATATCTGAAACTATGGTTTAAGGCTTCTTTTGTTAATGATGTTGATGTAATACTCAATTTCTTCAGATCCTTATAGTTATAAAGGACATAAATCCGACAAACTTTTGTACAACCTTACAACCATTGTGGTACCAAAGTTTTATTAATAAAATTACTTCTTAATTATCAAAAGAAGGTAGTTCTTGATAATGTATTCCCACTGTTAGAATAATAGGAATATGAATAGGATTTCTATACAGTATCTTACGTGGAAACTTAGTTGCACGGACTCTTCACCAAAAATACACTACTTTTGGCGAATCTGACACGCACCCGTTGACAGTTTTGAAGAGTCCGAGCAACATAGCGTGGAAAAGGCTTATCGTAACAATGTAGATAGACAATTCAATAATATTTCTCTCCATTATTTCTCACATGGTATCAAAGTCATAGTGAGAAATATTGGGGACAGAGAAAGCAGTCACTGTGCGCGTTTCCGGTGATTCCTTAGATTTGATTTGTGTAGTTCCATTTTTCGTCAGTGTTGTGCTAAAACCAACACCACCAAGAGGACTAGTATCTCCCCAACCAGCGCTGTCGTGATCCGATGTCCCATGTGCTGCCCAAAATCTATACAACTTTGTTGAAGGTATATGTGAAAGGAGGTTTGTTTGAGAAGTCAAAGGAACTAAGAAAGGAGTTAGAAACTCTTGGTTATGCTAAGGATGAGCTACATTTCTTTCTTTAGAATTTCATTAGTTCAAAAAACCTCCCAAACATTTCATTTTGCATTCTAATTTATAGTATGTTTTTTGATAAGTTTATTGACATATAGTGATAAACTCGAATGGGAGAAGTATACACTTTGAGGCTTTATGTTACACGGATTCTTGGTTATTGGTGTAAACACAAAAAGATTATGATATAGGTGTGTGTCATTAAATTCCAATATGGCATACATATGCCATGGTGCACATCAACAGTCAGTGAAATGAGTTTCTAAAGAAAATAAGGTTAACAGTTGGTGATGGCAGAAAATTAAAGTTTGGAGGACAAAAGGTATGGGCAAAATTCTATGGTAGAAACCTTCCCTGATTTTTTTTAACATGGTCATTCGTAAAAAAGTGTAGTATACTGACTGTTGGTGTGAAAATTAAGAAAAATATTATTGAATTATGTATTTACATTATCACACTGAGCCTTATAGACACTATATGACTATCCCTTTCCACGTAGGATACTATATACAAATCTATTCTAATTCCTGTTCTAACACTCCCCCTCAAACTGGTGCATACAAGTCATATGTACTAAGCTTGTTACATAAGTAATTAATACGAGGACTAGTGAGAGAATTGGTGAGAATATCTGCATGTTGTTCACTCGACTTCACAAAGTAACAATATCACCGGAGAGTATCTTTTCTCTTACAAAGTGACAGTCAATCTTAGAGGTGTCAAATGGGCGGATTGGGTTGAAATTGGAGATATTAAAATAGGTTGAAATAGAAATTGGGTTGGGTTAGGTCCTGACTCGCCCAAGTTTACTTTGGGCTCAAAACGGGTTGGATCTTGGCCTGCCCAATTTGACTCGCTTAATCTCAACAATTTTAATATACTATTATTTATGTTTATAACCACAATTTGAATTTCAACTCAAGATTTTTTTTTTGAAAAAGTTACCAATGGATAGATAAATCCTAAAAGATATAAAATAGATAGTAATTCATACCTTCAATTAAGGCTGGGCACCGGACCGGAATGGGACCACTGGATCGGAACGAACCGGTACAGGACGGTTTGACCGGGTTGTTGACCGGTACCGGGATGAATCGGACCGGAATTACCAGGATGAATCAGACCGGAATTACTGGGATGGAGGCTCGGTTCCGTCCCGTCCCACTATATACCGGGATAGAACCAGGACGGACCGGAACAGAACGGGATGGGATAAACGGGACGGCACATATAGCTATTCAAAAAATAATTATTTTTTTTGAGTTATTTTGAATTATGAAAATACGAATGTTTTTTTTATTTTTCTAAGTTTATTAGTTTATAGTATTAAAGTTTTAAAATTTATAATAATTTTACTTAAGTTTATTTTAAAGATATTTTTTAAAATTTTTACTTATATAAGTTTGTAAGTTAAGTTTAATAAAGTTTTTTTTTTAAGCTTTTGAGCTTATGTTTTAAGTTTTCAAGATTTGAATCTTTTGAAGTTTATAAGTTATACTTATAACTTGTAAGTTAAATAACTTAAGTTTGTAATTTTAAAAAATTAAATAAACAAAAAAGAAATGCTAATAAAAGTAAACAATGACAAAAATATTATTTATTATTTTAATTAAAAATGATTTACCGGAACCGGATCGAAACGGAACCGGGATGAACCGGTACCAAATCATGATACCATTCCGTTCTGTGTACCAGTTCAATGTATCCCATCCCGTCCCGAATACTACCGGAACGGTACCGGTACAACCCGTTCCGGTGCCCAGCCTTACCTTCAATATAGGAACATGCATAACATCAATGCAAATAAAGAGTCCTAAAACGGGTAGAAATTGGAGATTAAATTGGGCTCAGTTGATGATTCTCTTAAAATGGGTAAGGACTTGAATGAGTTGAGATTGAACCCAATTCAAATTATCTTGAGCCCAACCCTTAAAATTCTAGGGGGTTACCTAAAATTGGGCTCATTTTTGACGCCCCTAGTCAATCTCAATGTGTTTAGTCCTCTCATGAAGTACCATATTTGATGCTGTATGAAAGGTTGCTTGGTTATCACATACAAGTTCCAATTGACTGATTTCTCCAAATTTTAGTTCTCCAAGCATCTGTTTGATCCAAACCAGCTCACAAGTTGCTACAACCATTCTTGATATTTTGCTTTAGCACAAGATTGAGCAACCACACTCTATTTCTTACTTTTCAAGGATATCAAATTACCTACTACTAAAACACAATATCCGGATGTAGAATGTCTTTTAGAAGGTGATCCTGCCCAATCAATGTCTATTAATCCAACAACCTGCTCATGACCTTGATTCTAAAAGAGTAGTCCCTTGGAGCTGACTTTATATTATCGTAGAATGCAGACAACTGCATCCCAATGACTATAATCCATAAGTTGACTTACAACACTCACAAGAAAAGAAATGTCAGACCTAGTCATTGTGAGATTATTCAACTTACCAACTAGTCCCTTGTATCTTCCAAGATCACTGAGTAGCTCCCATTTTCTGCCAAGAGTTTAGCATTCTGATCCATAAGAGTGCCATTGGTCTATATTCCATCATTCCTATCTCTTCATGAATCATGAACGTCTAAGGCATACTTGCTTTGTGAAATAGCAATACCTGATTTGGACTGAGCAACCTCAATACCTAGAAAAAACTTTAGTCTGGAAATGCTGAAAGAGATGTTGGTTTAATTAGTGATACCATTTTGATCATTGTATGTGATAATGATATCGTCAACTAAACCACTAAATAAATACGTAATTGGGATAGAATGTCGATAAAACATAGAGTGATCAACTTCACTGTGAGTCATGCTAAACTCTTGGAATCTTGTGCTAAATTTTCCAAACCAAGCTTGAGGAGATTGTAAAGTGGTTGGCACAATCGACATACCAGGCTAGACTCCCCCCAAGCAACAAAACCAGAATGGTCACTCCATTTAGACTTCCTCCTCGAGGTCACCATACAGAGAAGCATGTTTAATGTCCAGCTAATAAAGAGGTCAATGTCAGACAATAACTATGGATAGAAAAAGAGGACATGTGCTACTTCATCCATGGGAGAGAAAGTATCACCGTAATCAAAGCCAAATATCTGAGTATGCCCCTTGGCAACAGGCGGGCCTTAAGCCGATCAACTTGGCCGTTCAAACCAACTTTGTATTTTGCTATGTATGGGACAACATAAAGGGGCCATCTATGTATTTTGCCATAAAAGTATCACTTTTTTTACGATTTTTTTATGATAGATGGGTCCTACTCAAAATGTTTGTTTTTAGGAAATTAATGGTTTGTTACATGTGTTGATTGTTGCACTAGGATGAGTTATAGGCCGAAAGTGTTTATCAAGAGACGTTTGCCCCCATTACAAAGATGAGCACTATTAGAATTCTTTTACCCTATGCAACTAATCTTGATTCAGACCTACAACACTTGGATACGAAAAATGCATTTCTTCATGGAGATTTTAAAGAAAGGTGTATATGGAAATTCCTCATGGATTTGAGACTGGACAAAGTTAGGAAGGTGGGCAAACTGAAGAAAACCTTGTACAAGCTGAAGCAATTCCGTAGAGCTTGGTTTAACAGTTTCTCCAAAGCAATGATTTCTTTGGGTTATGAACAAAGCAATGTCAATCACACCCTATTCTAGATCTCTTAAGAAACTGGGTGACAGGTTGCGAGCCAACATAACCACCGATTGAAAGCAATCACTAGTTACTAACAAGGATTGAAGGGTTAGTCGATTAGGAGAGATATCAGAGGTTGATTGGAAGACTCATTTATCTCTCATACTAGACTAGACAACCTATTCAGTCAGCTTGGTGAGTCAGTTCATGCATGATCCCCAGATCCTCATATGCAAGTTAACTTTTACATTTACGATATCTGAAGTCTTCTCCAAGGAAAGGTTTGTGTTTCTCGAACATGGCCATCTCCTGATAGAAGTTTTTGCAGACATGGATTGCGATGCATCTTTAGTTGACAGAAGATTCTACATTCAGTTACTGTACACTATTAGGAGTGAACCTAGTTACTTGAAGAAATAAGAAGCAAAATATAGTTGCAAGATCAAGAATGGAAGTAACCAATGGCTGATTATGTTTCTGAGCTTTTTGGCTACAAAAGTTATTGGAAGAATTGAGATTGTCTGGAAAAGGGAAACTTTACTTGTATTGTGACAACAAAGCTGCAATCAGTATAACTCATAATCTGTTCAATGTAACCGAAAGAATCAATAGATTCTTGCATTGTGCTCAATGGTGGGGGGGGGGGGGATTTACACACATCAAGCAAGAAGTTTAGCCATTGATCACAATCCCATCATGCTAACTTGTGGCAATTGGGAATGGAAGAAATCATACTTCAAATTTGAATCTTGGTGGCTAGAAGTGGAAGGTTTTAAAGAGAAGGTAAAGGAGTGGTGGTGTTCTTTCGTTGTGGAAGGTAGAGCAGGTTACATTTTAGCTGAGAAGCTAAAAATGTTGAAACTAAAATTGAAAGAGTGGAGCAAGAATAATAGAGGCAATTGGAAGCAGAGAAAAGATGACATCCTCAACCAAATTGCAAAATGGGAGAGTATTTAGGAACAAAGACCCTTGATTGATGATGAAATTTTACAAAAGGCCAACTTGGGGTATGGATTTGAAGTACTAGCAGGATAGGAGGAGATTGCATGGAGACAAAGATCTAGGATACAATGGTTGAAGCAGGGAGACAAAAACACCAATTTTTTCCACTGAATTGCAACTTCCCATAAGAGATGCAATTTTATGGAAAAGTTAGAGGTTGATGGGAACACTTTTAGGGACCCAACTTTAATCAAAGAAGCTGTCTAGGAGTTCTATAGGAAACTATATGAAGAACCAGAACCTTGGAGACCTGATCTGATATTACAAGAAGTGTCTATGATCACTGAAGAGGAGCAAGTATGGCTACAAATAACTTTTGAGGAGGAGGACATACTGGATTGCATCAAATTATGTGCCAAAGAGAGCGATGACTTTCCAATGATATTTTTTCAAACCTTTTGGGATGTGTTGAAGGCAGATATAATAGGGACTTTGGCACGGTTACATTCCAATCAGAATTTTGAGAAGAGTTTTAATGCAAATTTTATTGCATTAATACCTAAAAAGATTGGAGCCTCAAATCTCAAAGACTTCAGACCAATTAGTTTGGTTGGGGGAGTGTACAAGATAATGGCTAAGCTACTTTCAGAAAGGCTAAAGAAGGTGGTGGATAAACTGGTCAACAAGATTCAAATGGCTTTTGTAAAAGGAAGACAGATAATGGATGCTGCATTGATAGCTAGTGAGTGCATAAACTCAAGGATGAAAGATGGAAATGCAGGCATACTTGGTAAGCTGGACATTCAGAAAGTCTATGACCCTGTTAACTAGTCTTTCTTACTAAACATTATGAGGCAGATGGGCTTTGGAGTCAAATGTCTGAAGTGGATAGAAGTATGTATAAAGACAGTTAGATTTTCTGGACTTGCCAATAGAGAGCCAGTGGGTTCTTTTAAAGCTGAAAGAGAGTTGAGACAAGGGGATCCTCTTTCCCTCTTTTTGTTTATATTAGCAATGGAAAGTTTTGACAGCTTGATGAGGATAGCCACACAAAGCAGATGGTTAAGGGGCTTCCAAATAGGAGACAAAAATGGGGGTGGAAAAGAAATTAGTCATCTGTTGTATGCAGATGATACCTTAATTTTTTGTGACCCTAAGATTGAACAATTGAGATGCATCAGACTGATTTTAGTTCTTTTTGAGCCGTCGCAGACGGCCTAAGGGTCAATTGGGCAAAAAGTAGCTTGATCCCCATCAAAGAAATTCCTCATATTCAGATTTTGGCAAGTATACTAGGGTGTAGAGTAGAGGGACTGCCTACCACTTATTTGGGAATGCCACTACGTAGCAGACACAAAGCTTTGGAAATTTGGGATGGAATCATTGAAAAGATAGAAAAGAAGTTAGCAAGATGGAAAGCTCGATACCTCTCCCTAGGAGGTAGAGTCATACTGATAAATTCAGTACTGGATTCAATTCCCACATGTGTAATGTCTCTGTTCCCGATTCCCCCTAAGGTGGTTAAGAAATTGGATAAACTTAGAAGAAACTTCCTTTGGAAAAGAGGCAAAGAAGAAAAGGGCTACTATCTAGTGAATTGGAATACAATGATGCGTAACAAATCAAGTGGAGGTCTTGACATCAGAAACTTGAAAGTGCAAAATGAAAGTCTCCTAAGGAAATGGCTGTGTAGATATATCAATGAGGAGAGGACCCTCTGGAAGGAAGTGATAGTGGCAAAATATGGTGAGCTTAATCCATGGGTTTCAGACTGTTTCAATGCCATATGGTTGGGGAGTGAGGAGGTCCATCAGAGTTCTGTGGGACTCAATGGGAGAAGAACTGACTCTAAAGGTGGGGGAATGGCATCAAAGTTAGTTCTGGAAAGGTGTTTGGATCAGTCAAAGCTCTCTGAGAGAAGTATTTCCAGATTTATACTCGATATGCAATAACCCTAAAGCCAAAATCAGTGATTGCTGGACAGCACAAGGGTGGGATCTTTCCTTTAGGAGGGTTATTGAATGATTGGGAAGTAGACAGAGTAGCATCCTACTGGAAATGTTGGATGAAGTCTAATTCTGCAAATGTTCCTGAGAGTCACCTGGAACCACACCAAAGAGGGTGTTTACACAATTACCAGTGCCTACAAGAGAAGGGTGCAAGAATTGAGAGACGGTAGACGATATCACTGGAATAGCATATGGAAAGGATTGATCCCTGCCAAGGTAAAATGCTTCACTTGGATAGTTATTAGGAGAGCATGTCTCACTCAAAAAGTGTTGCAGAAGAAATGAAGGCCACTAGTTCCCAGGTGTACTTTGTGTAACTTGACAGGAGAAACAAACAATCATCTATTCTTACATTGCAAGTACACCTCTCAACTATGGGAACTCTTCCTAAACATTTCTGGCCAAAGCTGGTCCATGCCAGAACATACTTCTGACCTCCTAAGCTGCTGGATTAGAAGAGGGGCAGCAAAACTCAAAAAAAATGGTGGAAACTGATTCCTTCATGTATTTGGTGGTCAGTCTGGAGAGAAAGGAATGGTAGATGTTTTGAAGATAAATCCAATTCCATTCACAAAGTCAAATGGAATTGTTTAGTATCTTTACTTTTTTGGTGTAAACAATTATGTATAGATGATGAAGATCAAATCATAGAACTGATAGGAAGCTTGTAAATTTTGTTTTGGTCATGGTTGTAACACTTTTTGATGATGGCCAACATTTCCTTAATGCTGAAGAATACTACTTATCAATTGTAAAAAAAAAAAAGAATCGAACAAAACATATTGAATTGACTATCAATTCATCAAAGAAAAAGTTACTAGTGGCATCTTGAATTCGCTTTATGTTCCATCAGAAAAACAGTTAGCGCATGTTCTTACAAAACATCATCAACAGAAGGACCTAATTATACTTTGGTTTGCAAGTTGTGAGATATCCTTGCAAGTTGTGTTAATTAATTAGCATGATTTTAGGAGACTTCATTTTTCCTTCCCTAAGCATAATTATAGGAATATAATTGATTTGTCTTTCCTTAATCAGTTAGGATTTACTTGTATTGATATCTCTTCTCATGGGATGTAAAGTGGTACTGAAATACAAAGAAATCTTTTCGTCCTTCTCAAATTCTACACCTAAAACCAGAATAGTCCTTGGTTTTATTTTCCCAAAGTAATGGCACTATAATTGTTTTCCTGATTTTTTCCCCTACTTTATGGCTCCTAATGTTGAGAAAGTGCTTCTGATTTTTGTCATCGATCTACTGAAATAAGTATACCTGAAGTTATTCGCTTACAGATTGTTTGCTCTTATTTTAATACATATTGTACTTTTGAGTGTTCCGTGGCTTACAAAATATGCTACTTACAGCTGCCATTTTGTCTTCTAATGGATGGCCTGGCAAAGTCTGGACATCTTCTTGAAGCAAAATCAGTATTTGATGAGATGATGGAAAAACAGGTGAAAACTGGTATGTATCTTACATACCATGGATGGGCTATTGCCCATTCTTAAATTTCTAATAGAGAATGTTGGAGTTCACTATGAGAGGCTGTAGTGAAATCAATGAATATGTTTTCTTGAGCTCTTCAATGTTCTTAGTTCAGATTGGAATATATTTGGTGCCTTTCGCTTCATGTGTATGTTCAGTCAAAATATACTTGAGCTGGTTTGAGCTTATTATTTGCATACTCCTTGATATGTTGAAGCTGGTAAAATTACTTAGTAATATTTATGTGCTGATTGTCTATCCTCTCAAATAATGGGCATTGAGTATTGCTTCTTCTTCTTAATTTTCCTTCACTTTCAATTTGGTATTTCCAAGGGATGGTTGTAACCTCAGATTACCAACTCAATGGGTTCTTCCTTTCCGTGTGCACTATCATTGGCTTGCCTTATTATATTTAAGGGGTTCCTGTGACTAAGTTGCAATTTGCACCCCTAAGTATGCACTCTTTTGTGACTTACACTGTTAGAATAGGAATAGGAACCAGAATAATATATACAATCCTACTTAGAATAGGAATAAGAATAAAAATAGAAATAGTATATAGAAAGGATAAGGCATAAGTACCCCCTTAGACTATGACCGAAATCTCAAAGATACACCTTAACTAATCGAAGGTCCTATTACCTCCCTAAACTCATTTTTTGTGTAATTTTGTACACCTTTTGGCTTACGTGGCACACTCCGTGACTCCACTTAAGTGAGGCGCGTGGGAGATGTTTGGAGGCCACATAGGCCAAAAAGGTGTACAAAATTACAAAATAAATAAATTCAGGGGGGTAATAGGACCTTAGTTTAGTTAAGGTGTGTCTCTGGATTTCGGTCATAGTCTAGGGGGTACTAATGCCTTATCCTTATCTAGAATCCTACTTAGAAAAATGATTGTATTGTACTATTCTAGTTGGGAAAGGAGTCTAATGTAGTGTCTATAAATAGGGTTTCAATGTAATAAGTAGATACACTATTCAATAATATTCTTTTTCAATATTTCTCACACGTATCAGAGCTTATGGTTCAATAGTCCAATGATTGAATGAGGTTGAAAACATGTTCAATACGGTTTCAAATCAATTTGCAACAAATTTGATGATAATGAAGATTTTTTTCATCCAACTACATGTGCAGAAGTTTTAAACCATATTTTCAACAATCCTGTTGCTGCAATTTTAAAAATAAAATATTTTAAACCTTAATTTTTAAACATGACAAGCATCAATGATGAAGACTATGAGATATTATGCATGTAAAGAAGACAAATCAAATTTTGTCAAGAAAATCCAGCCAAAAGAGGAAATTTGTTAGGGCTTTGCTTTGATTTTCTTATCATATTTGAGTTTTACGTTTTCCTTGAAGAAAAGTCAAGCATTACCATAATTGCTTTTACTTTTTTGAAAGAAAAATATAATTCTCTTCCATATTTGGTTATTTTTTCCTTAGGGAAAATAATTGATACTCTATAAATTGAAGACCCCTCTTCTCATACTAAGAACACAATAACATCACAATGTAGACGTTTAAGAGTTTTGTTTATGGAGAGATTTTCTCTCTACAGTTTGTATGTTTTTTATTAGTTTTCAAATAGTAGGCCAGTTGGTCAAATCATATAATAATATTATGTTTCTTGTAGTATAGTTTTATGTGTCATTTGATTTTTCACCGACATGATTTGCAATTGTAAGTCTCCGCATGAGGTCCTGATTATTTTCAAACCCAACAAATGGTATTAGAGCCTCTATAATCTTGGTAAATTATTACCCATATTTGCTGCCCGTCTGGCCAATGATTATGTTAACAAAAGTAGGGCCAATGTTTTATGCATGAACCCCATATTCAGGAGAAGAAAACTTGGTCAGACAGGTCATCGTGCATCAATTTTCGGTGACTTTCTAGGATTGTTTTGTGTCAACCCCATATTTTCCAGTGTTTGTGTAGTGCGGTGCCATACTTCCCGTGAATACTTTTGTATATCTAATTTGTGTGGCACCGTGCCATCCTTCAAGTGACTACTTTTTCATATCTAATTTGTATAGCACCGTGCCATCCTCTCGGTGACTACTTTTTCACATCTAATTTGTGTAGCACCGTGCCATCCTTCGGGTCTCATATCTAATTTGTGTAGCACCGTGCCATCCTTCGGGCATATCTAATTTGTGTAGCACCGTGCCATCCTTCTGGTGACTACTTTCTCATATTTGATTCTTTTCGGTGACTACTTTCTTATTTGTGTAGGGTCGTGCCATCATTCCGACCCTACCCATATAATTTCTCCTTTTCAATAGGGTCATGCTGTCAATTCGACCCTACCCATATAATTTCTATTTTCTAGTAGGATCATGCCATCATGCCGACTCTACCCATATAATTATATTTCTGAAATTGTAATCACTTTCAGGCTTCAAATCTAATAATCTGGCGCATGAGCAAGTTCCGACCAATTTTACGATGACTTTTACATTAAGAATGTTTTTCTCCACGATGATCTCGGGGAAGTCTAAATGGAACAACCACCTGGTTTTGTTGCTTAGGTGGAGTCTAGTAGCCTTGTATGATGATTGAGCAAGTCATTTTATGGTTTGAAATAGTCTTCTCAAGTTTGGATTGGGAAGTCCAACACTGTAATTTAGGAATTTATCATCCGTGTTTTATCAACATTATGCATCAAATCCAATATTTCATGAGAAGACTAAGCACATTGAGGTTGCCAGTCAATTTTGTGAAGTCAAGTGATCAAGTTGCAAATATCTCACCAAGCCTCTCATTGGTCCTCGTATTAATTACCTTTGTAACAAGCTAGGTACATATGGCTTGTATGCACCAACTTGAGGGGGGAGTATTAGAATAGGAATATGAACAAGAATATTATATACAATCCTACTTAGAATAGGAATAGGAACAAGAATAATCCATACAATCCTACTTAGGATAAGAATAAAAATGGAAATAGTATATAGCATCCTATTTAGAAAAGGATTGTATAGTAGTGTCCTAGTTGGAAAAGGAGGCTAATATAGTGTCTGTAATAGGATGTCAATGTAATAATTTAGATACACAATTCAATAATATTCTTTTTCAATATTTCTCACATACACCTTATCCTATTTAATTAATGATTTGCATTCTAATCATTAGTTCCTTGCAAAACCTTGAAAGATACATTTCTCAATTATTTATGATGAAAAAAATTAGGAAAGTATAATAAGATCATGTAAAACATAATTAAACTTAAAAACAAAAGCCACACTGAATAGCAGATAAAATAACATTGAATAATAGATCATGCTCATACTTATCCGGTCAAAGACACAATCCACATGACTCCATTTATAGCATTACTCCACTCCAAGTAACTTTTGTGTAGTCTCTTCTCATCCCTCAAGATACTCAAGATTCTTTAGACCTTTAAGAGAGATGAAGAGATGAAATTAGTCAAATGACACAGTGCAACTATCGATTTCTTAGTTTACGGTCATACTGATACAAGATATGATTTATGCTCTCATTTGGCTCTTTCAAATTTATTTTTTATCAAAAATTATAGAAAATTAATCTTACTCTCTAGCTTATCCAGAGTTCCAAGTTTATGGTATTGAGTTAGCTCCCAGAACTATCATCTCTATCTACATCTCTTTGCTTGAGAAAGTACTTAAAACCTTGTCTTCCTTGAAATAACTAGGAATACTTCAAGAAGCCATGTCTTCATTGAATTATCTAGGAATACTTCAAGATTTTCTGGGTTCTCACTTTTTTTAATTGGTTGTTGCGGTTTACTCGTCTGTCTTTGTAGTACATACATAAAAGTTGATGGTTTTAATCATGAACCTGTGAATAATGGGGAAGGAGAAGTCAACAATATTAGTTGTGTATTTTTCTATTTTACCCTCATAAGTAATTGAAGAAACCGGATCTTTTAGGGTTTTGCAAGGATTTTAGGATATTAAGGTGCAAGTCAATTAAAGAAATAGTATAAGGTGTAAATAACAAAAGAGTGCATATTAGGGGTGCAAATTGCAAATTATTCGGCTCCTGCATATGGCTTAGAGTTTTATGCTCTGTGTTATTTTACTTGTAATTTATATTAATTTGATTTGTCCTTTTGGTTATAAATTAGCAGATGGCTACTCCTATAGCATTATGATTTCTGCATTCTGTCGCAGTGGGCTTCTCGAAGATGCAAAGAAATTGGCTTCTGAATTTGAAGAAAAATATGACAAATATGATATAGTTATTTTGAATGCGATGCTCTCTGCCTATTGCAGAGCAGGAAAAATAGAGAATGTAATGAGCATGATGAAGAAGATGGATGACTCTGCAATTAGTCCTGATTGGAATACTTTTAACATTCTGATAAGATATTTCTGCAAGGAGAAGCTATATTTGCTTGCCTATCGTACCATGGAGGACATGCATAGTAAAGGTCACCAACCAGAGGAGGTAGGCAAAAGTTAAAAACTCACTATTTTTTTGATCAATAAAAGACATAAAAGTGGCACTTGTAGCTGGGTTAACCATTATTGGTCTTCTGTGTGCGGTTTAACTACTTTTTGTTACCTGGGTTTTGTGCCCAGTATTTAAGAAACTAATGTGTTCAACTCGGATGCTTGCTTGTGTTGGTTGATATGAGTCAAAAGTGAACATATATGGGGTTGCTCAATGAGACATCGAATCATAGAATGGAACTAAACTGCAGTGGATCAGGTTAGGTAACCATCAAGCAGACATAATAGTTCCGCCGTAGTATTTTATAGTGGCTTGAATTGGAATAAATTTGATTATGCACTCTGCAGAGAATACATGGCATCAAAAGTTCTTTCTTCTTTTATGGTTGATGTGAGTCAAACGTGAACACATATGGGAGTTGCTCAATGAGACATCTTATTAAAATTTAACTAAATTGCAGTGCATCAGGATTATGTCAACCATCAAGCAGAAGAAAATAGGTGTGTCGGAGTAACTTTTAGTGGCTTGAATTGGAATAGATTTGGTTATGCACTCCACAGAGAATACATGGAATCAGAAGTGTTTTTTTTTAAAAATAAAATAGCAAGAGTCTCAAAGTCCTCTATTTTGGTGACCCAGAATTACTAACGTTCAGCTTTTTAGTTAATTTGTTAGGTGCCAGGCTTTATTTTGCACTAATGCACAACTAACATAAAATTGCTGGATAACTGGTAGAAGGATTTGCCTTTTTTTTTTTTTTTTTTTTTTTGCTTTTGAACAGAATAATTGAGTTCCTATTTCTCTTTTTCGTATTCCTTCTTCTACCTTAGAAAAACTAAAATTTCAGGTCGCTCTGCTCTTTATCTTCTCGACCCCATTTGTGCTATAAGTTTACTTTAACTTTTTCACGGCATTGTTGAACCTATGATGCTTGCAAAATTTGCATGGGGTACTAGTTGTTACACTATACATTGCTAAGTATATTGAAAAATATGATCTAAATGTTGTCCCTTGTTCTCACACTTTCTTTGTCCAACTTCTTCCTTTTTCAGGGACTTTGTTCCTCTTTAATTTATCATCTTGGTAAGACAGGTGCACATTCAGAAGCATTTTCTGTATACAACATGTTGAGATATAGCAAAAGAACCATATCCAACGCCCTTCATGAGAATATTTTGCACATTTTGATTGCTGGGCGGCTCCTCAAAGATGCTTATGTGGTAGTCAAGGTACTCCATACCTTTATTTTCTTGCAATTTTCATCTGTATTTGCTGTTTCTTATGAACAATCATAATCTAATGAACTAGGTATACAGGACAATGCAGGATTCATCTCTCCGCCGGCTATCAAAAAATTTTCTGTCAACTTCATGAGATCTGGCAACGTAAACTTAATCAATGATGTGATGAACGCCATGCAGAGCTCTGGCCACAAGATTGATCAGGTAATAATTAGTTTCAATTCTCCTCTATGATTATGTACTAGATATCGCCATCATTTAAAGTATCAGGGAACATGGACTTAATTAATGATAAGATGAGAAGGTACTCCCAACTTTTCTGGAGCAACCGACAAGATTGATTAATTCTAAATCTGTTTTTGACTCAGTATGCCAATTGATATTATTGTACTAGGTTTATTTTTTGTTCTGCACTCGTTTGTGTCATTCTAATATGAATCACGGAACATATCTTAGTTGACAATACCTAAGCTCGTTGGGATAAGAAGGTTGCATATGTCTTCTGTTGACAATCATGGGAGAAGGACGAAGGTCACCTCACTTTATTACTGGAAGTGTAGAAACTGAGATAACATAACCAAATAAAGATGAAATCAATTTTATGTTGAAATGATAATAGGACGTATTCAAGAAATATGTCGATAGGCCATTAGTATTGGAGAATGCAGTTTTGCTATATGTGGGAAAATAGTTATAACCTGAGGAGCATGCATAAACGTGTCTTTACACGGGAAGTTAAAAAATTAGGTTGAACAACACAAACATGGCAAATTTATATTCGATCTATTTACTTCATCTACCATAAAATATTAATAACCATTCTCTTATTTAATAAGTGGGAGTTGGAAAGGAAGCACACACGAGACCGTCAACATGTGTGCTTCCGGGGATTAAGATTGAATTAAGGGGTACTTTAGTCATTTAGGGCCTCCTACTTTAGACTTCATGTTTTAATTATGTTATACCAATTGCTCTGCCGTGTGAACATTTCCTTTTGCAGACAAAAAGTACTCCATCATATGTTAGTATGTCTTTACACATGTGGGCCCCGCTTAAAGTTAGCAATGCAACATATTTTTTTAAAAATGCTTCTGTTAGTTTCACAAAGAGAACCTTTGATTTTCTCTTTCAAGGAAATTGTATTTTTGTTTAATTATTATCATATGGTATAATTTAATATAATATATAATGTAAAATTCCATAGATACTTGGGGTAAATGTTAAAAATTAAATTTTTTGCATGTACTTTGAATCTAACTTTTAAAAATTATAGAACTATAATATTATGAATATTGTAATTATTTGTGTTCTTTTATCTCAATTTGTATGACATCGTTTTTTTAGACATAAGTTTAAGAAAAAAAAAACACTTGAAACATTTTACTTTAAAAAATTCACATATATTTATATGCTATAAATCATCTCATTAAGAATAAAATGATAACTTTAAAGTTAAAATTATTGTACATAGCAAGAGAAACTATTCTTAGGGTGAAAAATAAATATTTCTTGTCTTGAAATAAAAGTACTTTGAGTTCATTAATATTTATTTGTTTTATCTATCAATTTGATTCAATATACCATTGAATAATCTATTTTGTTTCAATTTATCATAATATACATTTTATTAAAAAAAAGGAAACTAATGAATTAAATTTGTAATTCACACTTATTGATGAAAATACAAATTTAAAGTGAGACTTATTTTTTCACTGTATTTATGTTAGGTAGTTAAATAAGAAGGTAACAAGGAAAAAGTTAGTAAAGTTAAAAAGAATAAGAGAATAATAAATGGCAAAAAATAAAAATAAAATATATTCAAAAAGTAAAGAAGGGATAATAATAATAATAATAATTATATAACTAAGCAAGGATTATTAAGGGAAAAAAAAATACATATGTTTAAAAAATTAGAGTTTAAAATATAAAAAAATGAAAAATATAATTGCAAATGAAGAACAATAATTGATATATCGATAAATATTTCAAATGTTAAATGTTAATTTCAATTAGTCTAAAATAAAATTATTAAACATAAATTGTTGGGCCCGTGCGAAGCACGGGCATAATGTCTCGTCTAACATAAGGCAGAGATGATTAAAATATAAATAACTATCAAACATATACCAAATCTCTATAATGATTATGACAATATCTAAAATAGAACCAACAATTGGCGTAGCTAGGAATTTAGTTCAGGCTGTTCAATCTTTGAAGAAGTAAATAAAGTATTTATAATGAATGGGTGCACCAAAAAACTGTTAAATCAGATTGTGATATTTAACAAAATCATAGATACTTGTAATAGAACTAACAATTGTATAAATCAAAACTAACATAAAGAAATTTTACAAGTGGAAATATAGTTTAGATACATTTGTGGTAGAGGTAACACTTGTATAAATCAATACTATAGTAAAAAGTTTAATAAAGAAATCTCACAAGTGAAAATACCATTGAAACATATTATTACAATTGAACCTGTCAAAGATTTTTCTTTTATTGCTTAGTCTAGCTTTATGGAAGCTTTTACAATTTATGGACTGGTTGTAGCATTAGCACTTTTATCAGCAAATCATTTTTTTTTTAATCTTAGCTTAGAAACATGAAAAATAAATACATTTTTGAAATGTTAATATAGTATTACTCTAAGGTATTATCTATATTTTAATTAAAAAAAGGAAATGTCAAAGAGGTTTGGTTGATTTTTCATTTTTTTATTTCAAAAAAGGATTTGTTTATTTCTTACTTAGCTGTTTATCCTTTGTTCATTTTATAATTAAAAAACAAAAATTAAAAAAAAATGCCAAAAGTGGATGCTAACAGAAAGCTAAATGCAATAAATGTAAGTTCTCATGTAACACATACCGAAAAGTTCACACAAATTGATCCAACCTACTTTTCCGTTAAAAGTAAGGGTAAATTTTGGCATTACAGATTCGAAATTGCGACTTTCCGGACCTTTTGAACACCTTTTGCCACTGGGACAGATCTCATAATGTGTCAAGGGTGTTCAAATTACAAAATATAATCAATATTTTACAATATTTAACCTATATACTTGGTAACCAACAACGATCATGTGAAGTGAGTACATAAAGTTACTCAGTAAGTCTCTTCGACTCCCTCCAAAAGGTGGGACAAGTATTTGAGAAAACATGCATGCAATATCTCAAAATCATATATCATAATATATTTCTTTTATAATGAAGTTGTATTCATACTTGACTAGCATTCATCATGTCATATCTACATAGACTCAGATTTGGCGTGCCATTATAAGTTCACTTGAAATCATCTTTTGAAAATCATAGCTTTCCTCACAGGCCTTTAACATAACCATTTCCTTGCAGAGGTGTATTCATGGTTTCTAAATGATGGGTGCACCATTACGAAAAGGTGGATCTAATAAATAAATGTGATCGATTTGACCTTTAGGTTCTTATCACTGAAAAACGTAAAATATTAAAATTATAGGTTGAAAATTAGTTCTTATCTATTCAAATAGTAATTTTTTATATTTATACATATATATTAATTAAAACGCCAAATAACCACTTAAAGAGGTGTTAGCCAATTTTAGAAAGAAAAATAAAACAAGATAGATATAAGATTCAAATTTCTAACCTCACTTAGAGAGGTGCACCATTCATCATCGCATTACATGATACTTCGAGTGTGGGTTCACAAATATATATTTATATATTTTTAAGAAAATATAACACTACTATATATGATCTTGAGAGGTGAGCATGGACTCACGTGAACCCGGTGGGCCCCCTTTGCATACGCCCCTGTTTCCTTGTAGAGTTGTCATATTAAAATTTCAAATACATATATGTAGTCCACACATATATGTAGTCCCAATCACATTTCCAACATCATACTCAACCACCAGCACATGATATGTGTTGATTGATATTGATTTCCTGGCATAATTATAGGAGTGAATTGCTAGAGATTGATTGTAGATTGATATAGTATTAATTGTAATCCAACATGTAATATTTTCTCTCCTTATTTAGTTGTAGGACTTATTGTATAACTGCCCATTCTCATGGGATGTAAAACTATCCATAAATACAAGAAGAATCTCTCTGCTTCTTGAAATCTTCATGGTATCAGAGCCATAGTTGCCTTTTTGAGGTGAGTTTTCTCCCTCACAGCACCAAGGTTCCATTATATTTTATAAAAGAGGTTGAGTTTTCTCTTTCTCTGTGGCTGTCCTCAACAAAAACTTCTTCCGGTCAGTTCTTTTTCAAAATTTTTGTTTTTCCATTGGGGTCGCTGGAACATTCCAAGCATATCCCTCCCAGGATTGATTTTTAGCTTTCCGATGTTGCAGCTAGCTTTCCAGCCCAATCTACAGTTTTCCGACAAATGTTTCCGGAATTCTTTTTCCAGATCCCGGGTCGCATGCTTGTTGTGAAAACATCCCTACCAATTTAATTTCTTTTTATCACCATAATTAGGGACGTGGCAACTACCTGTCCAACTACTTCTCCCCGAATATGTTCCAGATCTCGAGTCATAGGCTATTCCAACCCTTCCTGGCTCCTGCCCATTATCCGGTGAGTTTTTCTGATGAGATCAGGTAGATTCTATCCTTGGAATGTTATTTCTGTATTTTTGGATATTCCTATTCTGACACTAAGGATTATTACTTGTTCAAACTATGGGTGATACATAAACAGAAAATAATTCTGTCTCAAATTAGTGCTGTAAAATTAGATTGTGCTGCTACATATCTTTCTTGGTCAAGATCTTGTCCCCTTTTTTTTTTATTAAATCTAGGAAATTGATTGGGTATATCACTGGATAAAAGAAAGCACCTGCTGTGACAAAGTTTAGGTATGACAGATTCTAGGTATGGTCAATGGGATTCTGATAATTCCCTTTTGATGACATGACTTCTGAATCGCACCCTTGGATATCTAACAATATCTATTGCTTGATACTACTGAAAAGATCTGGAAGTCAACCTAGCGCACTTACTCTCGCATGAAAAATAATGCCTAGATCTTTGATATTCGAAACGAAGTCCATGCCACTGGATTAGGTGAGTTGATTATAACCGATTATTATTCCGAGCTAAGTGAGTAATGGAAGGAAATTGATTACTATCAAAATTTGCAAGCAACTGGTTGAAAAGGAAAAAGTCTATGATTTTCTGGCCGGCTTGAACCAAGAGTATGATCGGATCAGGGTTCAAGTACTTGGCCAGATTTCTTTTCCTTGTCTTGAGAATGCATATTGTTATGTTTAATCGGAAAAGATCCGATGAGGGGTCATGTTTTATTTTGCACCAACTGAGAAGTCTGCATTCGTTGCGTCTCATGAGCAACCAAAGGCTATCATTTCTTCTGATAAAGATAACTTACATTGTGATTTTTGTGGTAGCTCAAAGCATACAAGAGAGACATGCTGGAAATTACATGTTAGACCAACTAGAGGTCGTAGTGCAAAGCATGTAGTTCCATCAAAGGATTAGGCCGATATTGCAGAAAATGTGGAGACATCCAGAGATACTACTATACTACTTCTGGAGAGACTTTGTCACCAGATGAAGTTCAACATCTTCATGGTCTTTTGAACAAACTTGACTCTTCCAAGGGTGCTAGTTGCCTAGTTCCAAGTATGTGCAGTCAAGTATTGCTTTTAATGCTAAGCTTAATTCTTGGATGATTGATTTTGGTGCGAATAGACACATGACAGGCTCTTCTAAAGGTTTTCAAAACTACTCTCCTAGTTTCAAAAGGGACTTATGTCAAAATAGCCAATGACATATCATCCATTCTTCGTGTACCTGGCCTTGAACTGGCCAAAAAGCTTTCTATTCGAACAGAATTCAACAATTGCATAAACTTTGGTCTCGATTGATTATACTTTTGGTTAATTGGGTAGGTGTCAGTAGCAACAGACTTCCTTATAGCTACAGGCTTTCCATACTGCCAAGGAAGGAATATTAAAAGGATCTACTTAACTAGCAAATGAGCATTTCATACTTTCCCACACTACTTCCAAGTCCAATAGAGGCCTTTCCAGTAAAAGGAGGTCAGAAAGGTGATGATACAACATTGGCATTCTCAGCGAATTCATCAGATGCCTTGCCTTCTGTTCGTTTACAGCCTTGAGTTTCCCGTTAACCTGTTATCTGTTAGCTCCATTACCAGAGAAAAAGTTGTACTCACGAGGAATGCACCTAGAAGTCCAAGATCCCTTCTATTTACCATGCATTTACCAAAAGCATATTGAGGGGATACCGTTTTAGCAACTGCTTATCTTATCAATAACATGCCTCTTTAAACTCTTGATTTTTAGGGTCCTCGGGAAGCTTTATAATGAATATTTTGTTCCTTCAAAGGTAAATGAGGGTGTTTGCTTTGTTCACACTAGAAACTCAAATTATACCCAAATTCTCTAGCTTTCTTGTATTTTGTTTTTGATATTTTTTGGGGAACTCAAAACCCATCAAGCTATTTTACTAATGGGTGCTCGCGAATACATTACATCCATTTTTCCTTATTTTCTATATACATGCACAATATTTCCGTCGGGGTCAATGGGTGCTCGCGCACCCATCATGCTATATGTGGGTTCGCCCCTGACTGTGGTACCTGTTTGTCAGACATCTATGTGACTTACAGAATTTGCCCTTTTTTTAGCTGTTGTTGAATTCGAGGCAATCATAAGTTTGACATTAGCTTTAAATCTAATGTAGGACCGTACCTTGTCAGATATTAAATCACCTGTCTCTTGAAACACTCTTCTCAGGAATTATTTGATTTGGCTATAGCACGCTACATTGCAAAACCAGAAAAGAAGGAATTACTTCTCTGGTTACTGAAGTGGATGCCTGGTAAAGGTTATGCTATTGATTCATCAACTAGAAATTTGATTCTGAAGAACTCTCACTTGTTTGGCCATCAACTTATTGCTGAGTCATTGTCCAAGCACCTTGTGATGTCAAAAAAGGCGAAACTTAAGAAGGAAAATGCAAGATAACTGAAGCTATATGGTGAAGTTGGACATTAGTTTGCTGTATAGAGAAGTTTGATATGTTGCAGGTCTTAAGCTGATAATTTTGTTGCTGAGGCAGCTCTATTTTCGGAAGCAATTTCCACCACTCTCAAGCTTAATGTTAACTGCAGCAATGCATTTAACAACTTGAAACAGATTTCTGAGGGTGTCACATGAAGCATGCCAATAACCAGCAACTCCATTCATGTTATAGGATAAACGTTCAATTTTCTTATCGTATTTAATTGAGCTTCGACATTCTCAGTGCCTTGTGTAGAGCCATTCCTGATTGTCACAGACAAGTTTGGAAATATCAGTTGCATTATTGCATACCTTATACGTCTTCAAAGGCACAAACTTTCAGCAAAAGGTATTTCCTTGCAATGTATTTGTTCCTAGATCTCGAGTATAAGTGTTAATCCTTTTTCAAAATAGTATAGCAGTCTTGCCTATGCATATTACCATTTATGTCTTTTTTTTTAGCAAAGGAATATTACATAAGCATGCCCTTTAACTTGTTCTTAGTTGACATCTATGAAACTATGACCTTAAACTTTGGGTGTGGATAACTAAGACTTAAACTTGTATAAAATTGATCAAGTTGACACGCGTGTCCTACTTAGTAATTTGCATGAGACATACTCGAACTGATTAATGCATGTCACATAAGATACATGTATCTACCTATTCAACTTTATATAAGTTTAAGTATCTATTTATGCACAATCAAAATTGGAAGGATATAGATGTGTAACGACCCGTTAGACCGTTTTGAGTGTTAAAACTGTTTGGTCTCTTCCCTTAAAATCTAAATGAAAATTTTGAACTATTAGTGTATCTACAGTCATTTGATTAGTGGGTAAATTTTAAATAATAAATTTAATTGATGGCTATCGGGCTATAAGTCCATAATTCATTTAATACCCAAGTAACTTGGCTCATGTATAGAGATGAATTAAGAGTTATTGGGAGTTGATATTTCTTTTTGTCATACCACCATCCACTGCGGTTTCTACCAGCAGACAAAGAAAATCACGGCGTTACCAAAAATAAGCACACAAATATTCCAGTAAACTATTAATATTCAAGCTTAAATCTTATGGTTAATGTATGCGTTGGATAACTATGAATTTTGTTTGGCATGTGGGCTACTAGAAGTGTTGAAATTGAAAAAAATATGGTTGTAAATCTTGGAAGGTAATTGTCGCTGATGATGGGTTAATGATCAACTATCATTAGTCGGGCTCCAATGTGGGTATCAGACACCGGGTGGAAAACCAAAAACTAAAAAAGATTAACTATCATTGGCTAATGATTTGTACTTGAGTTGAGCAAAAAAGGAAAAAAACTCAAATTTTGGAGTTCCTTGTTGCTGCAACGTGTAGGCTACTGTTGGGATAACATATATTGTGGATTGATTTTTTTATTTGTTTGATCATCACATTATGATTCAAGTTATGATATAGTGAAATATGTGATTAAATATTAGGTGTATTATATTATATAAATACAATTAAATTTATGATATTTGAAGAAATTGAGATTTAACCGTAAAATTAAAATTTAGGAATATGAGACTTGACATATTAGTTGACACCACGTGTTCGACATTTAAGGTATGTTAAGACTTCCAAACTTCGTTGAAAGACGTTTTTCTAATTAAAGATTAAAAATGGAATAGACAATGTGTAAGAGCGAAAGATGGGGGTCTTCGTACCAATGGTGTGATGGGCATTGACATGAGTACCAGTGTTATAAAGGAAAAATTTATTACTATAGAATGACGGATTGTAGTTCGAGAATGTCATATGGTCATTAGCTGATGTACTATTGACTTGGTTTCTTTGTGTGATTGTGTTTCTTTATTGAACCCGTATATTTGTGATAGTTGAGGTGATTATATATCATGCTGATATTTGATTGATTGAGATGCATCATCATCCCTTTTATTAAAATCATATTGTACACATGCATTGACATGAGATTGAGTATAGGTTGGGCACGTGGAGATCGTTCGTGTTGGGGATTGTGAGATGTTATGATTATATGTTGGGCACATGGAGATCGTCTGTGTTGGGGATTATTTAATTTTATGATAGTGCGTTGAGATTGTCCGCACAAACACGTGGAGATCGTCTGTGTCAGTATATTGGGGGGGGGGGGTGCTCGCGAGGTCCAAATACCGACACAGACGATCTCCACGTATCTGTGCCGACGATCTCAACGTACTATCATAAAATCAAACAATTACTAGCACAAACGATCTCCACGTGCCCAACTTATAATCATAACATCTCATAATCCCAGCATAGAAGATCTCCACGTGCCCAACTTACAATCATAACATTTCACAATTCCCAGCACGGACGATCTCCGTGTCTCCGACTTATACTCAATCACATATCAATGCATGTGCACAATTTGATTTCAATAAAAGGGGATGATGATGCATCTCAATAAATCAAAAATCGGCATGATATATATTCACCTTAACTATCACAAATATATGAGTTCAATAAAGAAACACAATCACACAAAGAAATCAAGTCAATAATACATCAGCGAAGGCCAATATGCTTTGGCATTCTCGGATTACAATCTGTCGTTGTATAGTAATAAACTTTCTCTTTATAACACTAGTACTCGTACCAATGCCCGTCACACCATTGGTACGAGACTCCCATCTTTCGCCCTTACCCATTGACTATTTCATTTTTAATCTTTAATTAGAAAAACGTCCTTTAACGAAGTCTTAACATACCTTGAATGCTGAACACGTGTCATGAATCCTCAAGATTTTGCTTTTCCCTTTCGTAAAGCTTCTAAACGTTCACAATCTATCAAATATTTAATATTCATAAGCAAGTGAGTCCGTATATACTCATATTACTAAACGTCTAGCCTAGACCCAAAAATTCACCCTAATCTATAATCAAGTTCATAAATCTTTGTGTCAAGTCTCATATTCCTAAATCTTAAGTCTAGGGTTAAGTCTGAATTCCCTCAAATATTATAATTTAATTGTATTCATATAATATAATACACATAATATTTAATTACATCTCACTATATCAAAACGTGACAATCAAATAAATAAAAAAATCAAACCACAATATATGTTATTCCAACAGTAGCCTACACGTTGCAGCAACAAGAAACTCCAAAATTTGAATTCTTTTCGGCTTTTTTCCAAACCCAAGTACTAATCATTAGTTACTTTTTTTTCCCTCTCTTTCTATTTCTTTATCTCTTATCTTCGTCACTGCAAGCATCGCAGTCATTGAAGCTGACAACGGCGACTACGCCAATATTTCATGAGAAAATTCAATAAATAACACGTTTAAGAACTGTTATTACTAGTCTTTACATGACTTTCTAGTTTTCGATACATAACAATAAATTTCTATCAAAACTCACCAAAATAATAAATCAATTAAACAAGTGAAAATTGTTATTATTAATTTTTTAATTTCATTAATAAATCAATTCTGTTTTTCATATATAAAGAGAGATATCAATCACCTATTTTTCTCAATTAGTTAGAATTCATTTCATAAATTTCTCCTACATTTTGCCTCCTCATATTCTCTCCTTTGAAAATTCATAAATTCTATTATACATGTCTTCGTTCGCTCTCTTATTTTATTTTTTAAAAAAAACTTCATTACTTAATTGAATTCACTCCATTAAGTAAGTCAATTTGTATTTATAATCTTTTATACATAAATTTCTCTCCCTCTCTCTCACACACACAAAAAAAAGATTTTAATGATCAATAAAAATGACGATAATGACCGCAACAATATCTATAAAGAATTTTCTTAGGTGAAAAGAGTGCAAAAAGTTATAGGTGAATTGCAAGTATCACAATCTATTGCACCGTATCTTATTTATAGTTTGAAAAGGAAATATCAAGCTGACAACTTATACTACTCACTTTAAATTCATGAGCCACCCTCACACTTCATTTGGCTTCATGACATGAGCAAAATCCAACCGAGTCTTGTTCAGAGATTAGCTCAAGCAAAATTTGTTGAAAAAGCGGTTAAGTCAATTCTCAAAATTAGCTAACAAAGTAAAGAAAGAATAGAAAAAGTAAACAAATTTGTGATCAATTAATGTGTCATTGCACCTACGTACATAAATCTCACTATCAAAATATCTAATTGATAACATGATCTTAAATCTAATGTAGTCGAGCTATACCTACAACATTGAATTTAGAGCACTGTGCACTGAAATTTCATGCAACAAAGCATCACTTTAGGCAAACTCAAATCTATCATTCAACGATCACAATAGGATCAATTCAATGAGATTGATTGAGAACATTTTTTTTTTTTAAATGAATAAATATTAGTGTGTATATATAAATATTATATGTAGAAAACCCAATCGAAATGAAACTCAAATAAAATTCATCATGCAATTCGTACGTGTGGCTTTCAGGAACATTCATTTTTTAGATGTTATGTTCTCCGACTAACGAAATTTTCAAATCACGATGAGCAAAAAATTAAAAATATCTTACAAAAATTGTGTACTAAGGACTTGGTACTTTTGTTCCTTGTGGATAAATAAATTTGTCCAAAATCATGTGTAGAGCTTTGTTAATACTAATCGAAAAGATTTAGAAAAACATCTAGAAACCTGAATCAACTCTCCTGCAACAGTAGAAATGAATAAAAATAACAGACGCATAGAAAACATGAAGAAGACGATGCTCCATTAGGCCAAATTTCTATCGAATGCGTTAACAACAACCTGCAAAGAGAGACGCAGGAGATGTTAAATTATTACATAATTAGTAACTTTGGTCATAATACAAAACACAAGAAATTACAAACATATTAGAAAAAGAACAAAACTTGATTGGAATATTCACCTATGAATGAATGAAGAACCAATAGATGAATAAATGAAAAAAATTCTGAAGAAATGAAGAGAGAGTAGTAGATCTTCTTAGATTTCATGACTTAAATGCTAAAACAAAACTTCAATTCAAAATGTCAAACCAGAGAATAGAGTTAGATCATTACCTCAATATATGTAGATGTTAGTTATTTGACAATTGCAATCACCCTTAGCAATCATTAGTACATCACTTACATGTTCAAAAAATAGTTAAATCATATAACTTTCTTGAAGTCGGGTGAGAAGAATAGAAGCAAAAATGAATGAATGATGACCAAAATGAAGATTACCATTTTGCTTCTGGAGCTTAGAGGAGACGAATTGCATGGGTTTGATATAGAAAAAAAAAAGAACCATAAACCTATTATTGACATAAACAGACAAATATAATGTCCAATAAAGTAAGCCCAAGTATAAAGCACTATTGACATGACTTTCGGTACAATATATATAAAAGAAATTAATTTTGTATATCACATTATATATCAACTTCACACACTAATACATGTTATCTATA